CCTCATTTGGATTTGCCGATTTTATCCCTCTTTAACCGCTCAAGAGACTGCAGAGTAGCGTATCCTTTGAATTTTAAAAGGTATGAAATTGTGAATAAATTTGAAATGAAATGTTTAAAAGAAAATCAATACCAAGTCCCAAGTCTAAAAGCAGCGATTGCCCCGCCCCCTAGGCTGGAAACTCACCAACAAGCAACTTGACAACGTTGGGGGCCGCAAATTTAGCCACGTCATCCAACCACCGACGAACGTTGATGAACGAATCCCTGCAGGTGATGTCGTAGCAGACGATGATACCGTTAGCGCTGCGGTAGTAGCTTTGTGTAATGGTTCGGAACCGCTCTTGGCCACCGGTGTCCCAGATCTGCAGCTAAAGACGGATCTACGTTTATTTTTACACTTAACGCTTACAAAGTAGATCAAAAACATTGCAACGTTTATGCCAAATGGTCGAATCAGCAAAAAGAAGGATTAAAACACAAAACAACGTTAAAACAGTAGCAATTAAGCAAGGCATATGTTCATCCTTATGGTTCTGAGGAACTGTGACTCAGTATACAAGGCTTGCAACATTAATACTAAGATATTCATATATTAATGCTCAGAGCGTCGCGTAGGATATCATTTTCATTTTTTGATATTGTCCGAATTGCTCAAAAGCCGTTATCGGAGACTGTGGGTGGCAGGAAAAATAATGTTTTATTGCTTTTGTTCAATACGCCATAGAATATCTTACTTCATGCATTAATATTGAATACATATATGTTAAAAATCTTCATCATCTTCATCTTCCATCGCCGCTTCTCCTTCCGGGTCGCGGATGTTAAAAATATAGGTTCTAAAGCCGACAATATGTTAATAAGCACAATTTCAACGGCTTAAACAGCGCTATGCATTACTGCGTTGCTTAGAGACAACAGAAGTTAGAAAATTAATGTGTTAGACATATATGAATTCGAAATTTGTACACAGATGAAAAATAAAACAAAAGGTTGATCAGCAGTACTCAACGTTCTTCTAAGATCGATTTTCTCCGTGATAAACAAAACAGAGTCATTCATGTCATATCTCTAAATTTGGGTAAACAACTGAAGAAACAGGTTACATAAAATGCTAAAAAGAAGTAGTTGCTAAACAGAATACCCATGATATTTTGGGCTTACTAGCAAAAGCTAGATTCAGTAAGACAGGACAGCACAACACAATATATGTAAAATAGGGGGAAAAACGAAAAAGAGGCAGAGGAAAAGTAACATGAGGAACAGAAAAAAAGAAGAGAAGAGGAAGAAGCATTGGAAGAAGTAGAAGACGAAGGAGAACGCGAAGAAGCAAAACAATTAGCGGAAGAACGAGAAAGAGAAAAGGGGAGGAAAGAGAAATGAAAGAGAGATAAAGAAGAAGAATCAGAACGAAAAATACAGAAGGTATTCAACAGAAGAAAATACAGAAGGTATTCAAGATATTCAACTCTACTACGAATGCAGAGGAACTACAACCACATCACAAGAAACAATCAAAACAAATGGATTTAAGAAGGATTTAACTAGCTAACCCAAACGTCGATTCAGCTATCTCCTCATAGCTATTCGCACTGCCATTGTTCGTTAATAAACCATGTTAGTTTTGCAGTGTTTACCTAATCAGAACTGAACAAGGCACAGACTCATCCAAAACGACGTACTGCAGTAATGCAGGCGAAATGTGGAATGCAAAGAGAATACACACATATAGGATGTGTATATCAAGGGTACTTTGTACAAGAACATGCTGCTATATGACACACCTTTCTTCAGTGGTAATGTATAGACCTAAAACACGGACGGTAAGGAAAACAGGAGTTGAAACTCTGCTGCATGGAACTGTCGATGAAAATAATCTGAATTATGAAAATAGTCTCCATGCTGGACAGAACTCACTTCAACTGAAACTCAAAAAAAACATGCCAGCTATATTGCAGCTGACATGCAAAAAGAGTGAATGAATGAAGCCAAACTCATTGCCAATCAAAGCACTGTAAGCGGGTGCTGAAGGAAACGGAGAAAGGTCGCAGGAGAGAAAGAAGAAGACAGCGTGACAGATGCATTTGTGATAGAGAAAAACCTCCCGCAATGCAATGACAAATCGATCTAACGATATATACAAGTAATACATTTTGAAAAATAGTAAATGTCATGTATTACATAACACAAAATTTGTAACCTGGAAGAAGGACCGAGCTCAGTCAAAAATGTCAGATGGCCTTGTTAATTAAAGAATATTTTATGCATTGTCCTCCCGTCTGTGACATACCAAAATATGACATCATCTACCGCATAAAAAATCATGTACCATATTCAACATTACACAAAAATGATAAATTCTGCTGTTTAAACTCTTAACCTCAGATAACGATGATTCACACACATGACACAACAATCACTGACTGATCCGCCTTGTTAATTTGTTTAAACCCGATGCACGCACTCTACTGTGCAACACGATTTGTTGTCACAAGCTTCCATGTCTTTCGTTTAGCTCATCGTCCATTCAGAGACAAGGCATTGCGATTAGGTGCTTGTAGCCCCAGGAATATCAATCAGTCACTGCTCAAGTCCATCGATCATCCATCAGTCATGTGATGAAGTTCACGGTAGTCTGATTCGAGCTGCAAGGG